CTGCACTAGCTAAAAGTGACCATTTTATTGAAATTTTAAAGAAGGCAAGTTTTTAAATTACACAATTTGATTTTGCATTTTAATTATTTCAAAGAATAGTGTTTATTGATAGTGTAGTCTTGGAGTCAGTCTAGTGTTTTATGAGAGTGTCAAGATAAAAAGCTCAAATTCAGTCAAATTTTGTTTCAATTTTGTGATATGTAAAAAATTCAATAGGAAAAAATCTAACAATTAAAATTATAAAAAAGTGTTTTTTACTTTAATAAATAACGAATTGATAATATCCAAAAATCATTTGATCTAATAAATTTTATTTAGTTTATTTAAATCATTAATTTTTTTTAGTTTTACTTGGGGTAGTTAACACAGTTCATATGTAAAGTGTATACACTTTAGATATGCAAATAAAATTTTTCAAAGAAGCAACATAAAAGTTTTATGATAAAACAGATATATAATTTGTGTATAGTATACTGAGTAACATTTATATTGTATTATTTATTTATTTTGTTAGTTAGAATGTTACAAATCGATGGTATCGTACTTATGTGAAATTCAATGTTGGGAACATTATAAATTTAATTGTTTATACATAAAATATGTTATTAGAATATCCTAACACTATGCATCCAAATATGATGAAAAAATATCTGGGTTGGTACCAGGAAAAAACTGTGTTACAAAAAAACTAATATGTTATTGGGATTTTTTTATTTTAGCTCTAATGTAAAAGTTCTTTTATTTCAAAAATCCTATAATTTTTTACCAACTTGGGAACGTCATATTTAAATCAAAAATAATTATAATTATTATTATTAATATAATTATTAATACAGTAATCAGGTTTTCAAAATTAAAAAAACTTATACATAGGTTTTGGCATATAGAAAATTTATTTCTATGGTCACTTTCAAAAATATTTTTTCTATTTCAAATATATTTATACAAATATCATATCAGTGAATATATTGAAATACATTGGAAATTTAATATTTGTTTTAAAAACTTTATTTTAAAGTTTTAAAGCATCTAAAAAAAACAAATTGACTTTGGGTAAAATTGATGTTTTTAATTTTAATAAAAGAAGCATTTTTATGTTATTTATAATTATATGCTTTATTTTTACTTGGTAAGGCCATTCATAACTTTTTAAAATACAATTCTTCTGAAAAATCATTAATAATATTTAATTGTTTGAAAATAAGGAGAATACTGGATTATATTCTAACAGATTTGCATTATAAATTCAATTTTTATAATATAATGATATACAGGGTGTCCGTTTTTCGAGGCTAAGCATGGGTTAGTTGACTATTGTCTCCAGCCAGTTTTGAAAGACAACAAAAAGATTTTAACAGATTTAAATTTTCCTTGAAAAGTTCCTTAATAATGTCTCAATTAGAAAAGGCTACCTTCAAAAGTTTTTGATATAAAAAATTAAAATAAAATTACAAATTCTCTTGTTTTACGATATCTTGAAAGATAAAAATGAAAAGTTTTTTAGATTGTTAATAGGCAAGGAAATAGGCAACTCGGCAAGATACCCATGCTTAGACTAGAAAAACGGACACCCATAAAATCATAAAATATTTTATGTATATCGTAGATATATGCACCAAGTCTTCTTCTATGTATGGTTTTTTTTATTTGAAGAGCTACAAGGTCGGTTACATTGGACAAAAGTTGCGTTATTAAAGTATATTAAAATGGCATTTAAAAATTGTAAACAAAATCAGCGGTTTTCAAATAATTAAAAAAAAACTGAAAACCTGTCAAAACCAAAAATTGTTACAACTTTGTTTTTTTCTGGGAATTTAAAAAAAATAAGTTTTTCTTACTACCTCGACTCAAAATACGTTGTTTCGTCCCCGATTTCACGGCAGAAAGTTTACGTTTCTTGCATTGGTCAAGCTATACGCGCACACTCTAATAGCGGGAGTAAAAATTTTTAGTCGCGTGCTTAACATTTAAATTTCGTACAGCCAACATGAGAATCACAAAAATATGACAGTTTTAAACCATAATTTTGCAATTATAACAACAAATAAACAATTTATGTTTTTACTTTTTTACTTTTTATGTTGTTTTAAGTGTTTAATGGTACTTTTATTTGTTATAAAGTAGTAATTTGTTAATTAAAATACAACCTTTTATTTTTACTGTATTGGCACCGCTGAATTACCATGACAACGCTACAGTTTGATTGATTTTGAATGTAAACGTCAGAATTAAATTAAACGTCAGATTTTAATTTTGACACAAATTTTTTTATATACATTTAATTTTTTCCCGTATTTTCTGCAGGGTAGTAAGAAAAATAGTATACACTACACGGGCAGAAAGTGTGAGAGTCCTGAACTGCGCGCCATGATGCCCTCGGCTTCGCCTCGGGCATCATGGCGCGCAGTGCAGGAATCTCACACTTTCTGCCCTTGTAGTGTAATATACTATTTCTTACTACCTCGACTCAAAATACGTTGTTTCGTCCCCGATTTCACGGCAGAAAGTTTACGTTTCTTGCATTGGTCAAGCTATACGCGCACACTCTAATAGCGGGAGTAAAAATTTTTTAGTCGCGTGCTTAACATTTAAATTTCGTACTGCCAACATGAGAAACACAAAAATATGACAGTTTTAAACCATAATTTTGCAATTATAACAACAAATAAACAATTTATGTTTTTACTTTTTTACTTTTTATGTTGTTTTAAGTGTTTAATTGTACTTTTATTTGTTATAAAGTAGTAATTTGTTAATTAAAATACAACCTTTTATTTTTACTGTATTGGCACCGCTGAATTACCATGACAACGCTACAGTTTGATTGATTTTGAATGTAAACGTCAGAATTAAATTAAACGTCAGATTTTAATTTTGACACAAATTTTTTTATATACATTTAATTTTTTCCCGTATTTTCTGCAGGGTAGTAAGAAAAATAGTATACACTACACGGGCAGAAAGTGTGAGAGTCCTGAACTGCGCGCCATGATGCCCTCGGCTTCGCCTCGGGCATCATGGCGCGCAGTTCAGGACTCTCACACTTTCTGCCCGTGTAGTGTAATATACTATTACATTTAAGCATACACATTTATCTACGTTATCTACAATTTGTGATTTTTGTCACCTACTGGATTTTGAAATACCACCACCATCTTTTGTTTTTTCTATGGAATTTAACATGGTTAAATAGAAAAAAATCAAAGAATCCAACAATAAGTTATGGCGGCCATCTCAAAATATAGTAGCAAAGAATGGGGTGAAAATAAAGATTAATGTGTATGTTTACATGTAAAACTTACTTTGTTTCAAAATTCCCAGAAATAAGTTATAACGACTTTGGATTTGAGAGGTTTTTAATTTTTTTGAGAACCGAGCGATTCCATGATTACTAACAAGGCAAGCAAAAAAAAACCAAAATATGCATGAAAATTTTTGAAGATGTGTTGTTCCTGTAATAATAATTTTATGCCAGTCCTCAGCAATGAAATTAAGTAATATTATAAAATTATTATTATATGATCACATCTTTAAAATTTTCATAAAACTTTTTGTTTGTTCCGTTAGTAATCATGAATTTATAAATTTTATGCAACTTTTCTCTACATTGTAGATCTCAAATAAAAAATACCCATAGAAGTATACACATGGAAGGATACATGGTGCACCCTGTATATCATGATATATATCGGCGGGGAACCCTGAAATTTGTATCACATTTATACACAATATTGGATATTTTAATTTAAAATTGCAATAAAAGGTCCGTTAACAACCGGGCGATTGGTTAGGCAGTCAGATAACAGCCTCTAAATATTAAATAATGAAATTGACAACTGATATGGCTTGTTTTCTACGCACCTAATTTACAGATAGACATAGACTACAGCCATTTTTGGCTTTTCAAATATATTGCTACAACACAATCAATTACTAGCCGTGGTCGTTAAATCCAGGTAGGTTTTTTGTTCTTTTTATTATTATTCTTCATTACAGGCTTTCCAAAAGAAATTGACCAAATATCACAGTTTTTAATGAATTTCTTTTGAAAACTATAGGCTATTTTAGCACCAAAAACTACCAAATACATTATTATTCACAAGGTATGTTGATAAACATAGGATTATAAAAACCTTGGAATTTTTAATGTTTTTGGAAAATTCACTCTTCAAAAATCGATTGTGTAAAATTAAATAAAAAATAAGCCATTTAAAAGGAAAATACATTTATTTAATATTCTTGAAACTATATAAACTTCAGGTTTACTATTTTAAATAGTGTTGTGGTACAACCCACATATAAATATCAATTAAGATCTAAATAACCTTATTTTTTGCTTATTACAATTTAGAAATAATCTTAATTAGCAATAACATGTTGAATTTAGTGTTTTATAAAACATAGGGTAATATTAATGGTAGTTCGTAGTGCCATGTTAAGTTGGTCATTTATTATAAGCTAAAGCTAAAACAAATGACTAAAACTATGCACAGCATAATTGACCACCATTCACTCAAACTTTTTTCTTCAATCTTTCCGAGTACAAAAAATGACTAGTAAAACTAACTAAAGAAGAATCTAAATGTAGGTATACTAAATATAATTAAAATTAGGTAGTTAATAATTAAGATAAAAGTATTAATAATGAGCTAATTTAAGCGTAATATTATTTTAAAATAAATAAACACTTTTGTTGAAATTCCAATAAACATAATTGTACTTTGAATAAAAAGCCAACTACACTAATTTGTTGAACCAGTTACAAGTGAACGGTAGCTGTTACTATAATTATTGAAGCTTTTACCAACAATTATTGTGCGGTAGTGTTGTTATCTAACGTCTAAAGCTTCTTTCTAAAGTAATTGGAAAAATAAAATAACCCTTTTATTTTATTAATAATATATCTTTGATATGCACCACTGGTCGACTATGATGCCGACAACCTTCAATAATCATTTTTTCACACAATATACAAATTACTCCCCAGAGCCGACTATCATTTAGTTTGATATAAAGGCCCAACATTCCAACGTTTTGACGACAAAGTCCACGTGCGGCGTGAGTGGATCGTTGCCGTAGGTTTTGCACTTCTCCGATCTGCCCAGGTAGAGGTCGCCGTCGAGCCAGAGACCGAATTTGCCGTCGCCGGCGCCGATCGACAAGCTCTCTTGGTTGCCCTTAATAAAGTACAAGTTCTCCCCAGTCCAGTTGTAGACCTTGAAGTTGGGAGTGAAGTGGAACAACAACGATTCGCCGGTGCCGTAGAAATGGTCGGACACGTGAAGGGAACACGATGTTAAAGCACCAAATACCTGAACAAAAAAACAAACAAAATATTAATCATCTACAATCGAAAAATTGATCATATTAGTATCATTATAACCAAGCAATAGGATCCCATCGATGGGATTCTTGAAAGTTTACTATACTATACTACTAAGAAAAATTCAGTCAACAGCTTAGGCTCAACAATTGCACTTAAAAATTAAAGTTTTTTTTTACTAAACTTAATTCTCTACAAAAAAGGAGATAATTTAGGTAATTACGATTTTATCTTAAAATTTCCATTTTTATAACTGAAATCGCAATTATCCCTGAAACTATAATATTTATGCGATAATTTTTTGTAGAAAATTAAATTTGCTAACAAACTTAAATAAATAAAAAAATATTAAAACAATATTTTTTTGCTATTACCAAATTAACTTCGAAAAAAATGCGGATATTCAACCCACTTTACTATAAAGTTTATAACATGAGAAGTAATTTTGTTTTTTTTATTGATATATCGGGTTACCGGGTATTTTTTCTCGATTATGTAGTCTTTATCGGACCAGAACTTTTTTCTCGCACGCCGCACAGTGTGGAGTTGGAGCAAATAACTTTTTTATTTGTGAACAATTTTTAAAACTAATAATTTTTATAGTCTTTCCTTTTCAAAGTGGTAATCCAACATGGAGTCAAACATTGAAACAAATTAAAAAATTTGGTCCCAGAACTCGCGCTTCTGTCCATGCTGACTTAAAATAAATAACCCCTACCTTAAAGTAACGAATTTGGTCAATTAATTTTGAGACTTTTTAATATTGTTCTTTGTTGTCATGATGATTAAGAATCAGGGTTTGATAACGCGTTCTGTTACGGTATTTTGCTCCTATAGGAACATAAACGGAAACGGTATGGAAACATATGCTAAATAACTAATAAACTAAATAGCTATACCGAAAATACCGGAATTGTTGAGAAAATGTAGGCAAAGAGTTAACCACTGATTTTAAAAAATTAAAAATAGCACAATAATTAATTAATTAACCCGTTAACGGGTAAGGAAAAAATCACAAGGGTAGTCATACGCAACGCGTCACTAAAAGAAATTTCTTATAGACAAAGATTTTTCCTTATTGATATGGTTTGGACGCTTATATAAGGGTCTATATAACGCTGAACGTTGTCTCTCTGATTTTAGGGTGGTTTATCCCTTGTATGTAGGTAACGTTTTTAATGGAAATAAAACTATTGACGAACTACTGGTATTGAAAATATTAGTAATAGAATGAGACGGAAACGTTTGGTATAGAAACAAAACTACTAGTCCACTCTCACAAAAAAATTTGGAAAAAAATTGCAAAAAAAATATTTTGAATTTCCTAAGTTATCTATAAAAAAACCCAAAGACCCGTTTTCCTTTTGATCAATTAACTTAAAATTTTGCAAGAATTTCTTTTTTTAATACGGAACAAATGTGTAGGTCCAGCCAAAGGCTAGCTAGTTAGGGTGCATAAATTTTTAAATTTCTATAAATCTTTAAATATTGACCTGCATAAAATTGTAATCTACGACCAAAAATTAAGTTTACGTGTCCGAGCGTTTAGCTGTGATATTTTCACCACCTTTTAAATTTTGGTATTTGTTGGGACTAGCTAGAAACGTTAAGAATTCCTTTCCGCTTTCGCCGGGCCTACCATACGCCCAGCAGGGATATAAGTGGCTAGGGACAGGGTGGATAGACATTTTGGTTGTCAGGAGACTATTATGCTGACCCAAACCTGGGTATGATACGGAATCGCCTAGTTATCACAATCATTTAGGGTTAGTTAGCTAGCTAACTTTTGCTAATTTGCTGCGTCTTAAGTTGTCTGATTCCGTTTCTCCGTCCTCTACTCGGCTCTTACCAAATGCCGACTTCAAATAATATTAAGTAGTTTTTTAGTGTTTGAAAAACTTGGCACAAAGAATAAAAACCGAAATATAACATTATTAACTTTACTAATGCAGTTTCTTGGTTGAAACTTACAAAATTAAGTTATTAAAAGTAAAATTTTGCACTTACATTATTGTCAGTATCTTCGATGACCAATAGAATGGGCGATTCCAGTTTGTACATTTTCCTGTACATTGAATTGAGACTGAAGCCGTGCTGGCTGGTCGAGAAGACCAACGACCACGGGTAACCTTCCGCTCTGGCCGGCAGATGGCGGCACAAGTTCTCGCGGTGGTTGTCGGTGAGGATCTCGGTCGTGCCGATGAGATCCGGCGGTTGCAGTTCGATGTCGAGAGAGGGCGCCGACGAGTAGAACGCGCGTCTAAAGTCTTCCGACATAGGCAACACCTAAACAACAAGATTAAATCGACTTTAAGCGAGCGATTAACGATTTTTCGTAGGCTAAATTAAAAGCGACATGATTGGGTTTGAAACAGTAGGAAGTCTATGTTTATTATTTTTTTCCCGAAAAATACAGGATTTTTGACTTCAATAAAACCTTAAATATTTGCTCTTTTGAGTATACATTCTCTTATTATGACATGAAATAATCCTATAAGGCATTTGAAAAAATCAGTATAATATATCACTCAACCTATAAATTTATTCTGTCAAACTATGCCCAGTAAGTTTTTATTTGATTTTTTTTTTGGAAAATAGTTTCATTCAAAATAACTAAAAATAAAATCTCTCGACCGCTACACGGTCTCGTAATTTTATTAAATTATTTTGCATTCAACATTTTCCAAGAAAAACCGAACAATAAACTACTGAGCCTAGTTTAACTGATTAAATTCATAGTTCTCGTGATATAATATATGAATAAGTTATTCTTTTAAAAGTACAAATTTTTTTAGTATATTTTCATTTTATTTTAATTCAAATAACTGAAATCAAGCGATGGTTACTATTATAACTTTAGTATCCCTTTTCAATTTTCAAAAAGGCCAAAAAGTTTAATTTGGTAATTACAAACCTTTGTAATCAAAAATAATTTTGTCCCAACTTACCTTTTTAGGTTTTGGTTTTGGTTTTTTATCTTTGTCACTTTTCGATGAACCTCCTTTCATTATTTATCCTGTATTTTTCGGCATTTTTATGATGGGGAACAAAACATCATCGGTAATGGTTTAAGTTTAGCATAACATATTTTGTTCAGTTTTTCTTGATGAATTATGATTTACATTTTTTAAACATCAAAAACTGACGTTGCCAATGACATACCGTATCCATAGTGCAAACTGACGCTATAAAACCGAGTGCTTACACTTGCCAAGTTTACTTATAAAACAGTGGAATTATTTACATTTTTATTCGATCTACACTACCGGGCTCAAATAATTCAGATAGTACAGTTATTCATATAGCTAGGACATATAACATCTATTCTAAGCTAACATCAAACATTCAAAAAAGCCACTACTGTGTTAAGTTGGTATATTTCCAGAGACAGAGACAGAAAGATTTTATTTTAGGATGCCAACAACGAGCTGTATGTAAATACCACAGTACTGAAATAAACCAAATTTAGCCAGTAATTATTTTTATTAATACATACTGTGGTAATTCCATATATAAATAAAGGATTTTTAAATGAATTCCATTAATATCATTATAATAAATACGGTTCTGAATGGTCTAATAAAAATTCAAGACATGAAAAAAAAATGTGCTGCATCTGTATGTATGCTAATAAATTCTTGACAGAACTATGCATAATTAATAGTTTAAATCCGACCAAGAATGATAATAATATTTAAAGAATTCAATGAAAATATTTCAGATTTGAATTGAGAAGAGCCTCTAAGGGGATAATAAAGAGATTACAAGAAGTGAGTGTGACTTTGTGTAGTGCTTTGCATTTTTTTGTTTTTTTTATGGTTTTTGTTAAGTCACCTCATCGCATCCATCTGCCGACATTGTCTGCGTCTTGATAATGCTGTAGATTTTAACGTAGGGGGCCTTCAGAAGCTACACACCACCAAACAACCAAATTTTGTTAATAAACAACATAACATGAGATCGATTACGTACGCAAAAATGATTGTTAATTAATATTAGGCATAAATTCATGACATAAAAACGAACGCTTTACCTCCCAGCTTTCTTTGGTAAGTTCGGTGATTTCCCCATCTTGACTGCCATGTCTGCTGGCAGATGGCGTGGGCTCTTCACTCCATAGTTCTGTGTCCATCTCCACAAGGGAGAATCCCCTTTCTTTCACCTGGCAACAAAAAATTAATTTTAGAACTTTTTTCATACAAATTATTTAATTTAAACATCATTATAGAACGAATATAAATCAAAAACTAATTTTATCGGGTGACCTCTGTTTTTTGCCACAATTTTAGAAAAAAATAGTTCTCGCTCAAGGTTAAATTCGTATTAAATTTTGTTTACCAACATACATGTATTTTATGTAACAGATGCTGCATACTTTCGCATGCATGATTTAAAAGCGCAATTTTCGTGACAAATGTAGGAAATTAAAATAATTAATTAATAGGTTTCGGTTTTAAACCAAGTAATAAAAAGTAAAATTAAACAATAAAAAAATAATTATGCTACATTAACATATGCACGATAACTTTTGGTACCTATATAATAATTATTTAGTGTTTCATTTGAAAAATAACCATTTAGCAAAGTAAATTAATTAATTTGAAGGTGATCAATATTTTGATAAACAACAATTCTTTTTATATACTATGTTTATAAAATGCATTTTTTAATTGTAAAAACAAGCAATTAGGCTTTCTAGAGTGATTCACGTATTTATTTTACAAAACGCAATTTATTGTATAGCACTAATATTATTTACTCCACGTAAATATTGTTGCTTTATTTTAAATTATACTTTGTGATAGGAAAAATGTTTTTTAACAATTTAAATTCATAATTTGTTTTTTTACTTAAAATCAGAAATCTTAAAAAACGTTTAGCATTTCTAGCAATCTTGTTCGTTCAAGGTTTTTGTTATTATATTTTACGTATTTTGGTTTAATATTTTTTGTTACATTTATTGGTAATTAAAATTAATTGATTGCCAAGTAACCCTAATATTGGTGCAATACATTTAAGCCTCGGCCAGGATGGACAATATACAGGGTGTCCCTAATGGCGAACCAACCCCAAATTTTTGATGTCGTTAAAAAACTGCGTTTAGACCAACAATGTTTAAAATGAAACAAACTATCCAATATCGTTTTTAAAAGGGAAAAATCATAACATTGAAACAAAAAATATTTACGATTTAGATTAACAAAAAAAGTTATTATTGTTAAAGGAAAACCGTAATTGTATTCAATGATATGGAATGCAAAAATAGCCTAAATGATAAAAAACGATTTTTGGGTTTTCATTAATTTTTGATAAAAAAAATAGGACGCCGGTAGAGTTCCGCAAGTAGGACTAGGGTTGCCATCACAAATACGGGTTTTTACGGGAGGCAATTAAAACAGCATTGTTTTATGACGAAATCCTGTTTTTTTATAAATTTTTATTAATTGTTTAATGAAATAACTTTTAAAAAATCTTCGTTTTGAAAGGTTAATGTATAAAAATCTTCTGTTTACCACGTATTTTATTTTACCAATTAGGCTAAAAAACGGGGGTAACGTAAAATATCTGGCAACCCTACGTGGGACCTAGCTCAAAAAAATAAAATCTCGATTCAGAAACGCCTACTTGATTAAGTTTTAATTATAAATCTATTTTTGTTTTTAAATGTGTACATAACAAAAACATACAAATACAACATACAAATTAGAAAAAAAATATTACTTTACCAGTACCGGTACTTGGTTAAGGGAAATCAAACCAAATTTATTTTAATATAAAATATAAATAAGAAACAGAAGACATAGTAGCCAGGTATTCTAACCACTAGACCATACAGGATAAAATTCATTTTGAGCAAAATTTATTATTAAGGTTTTATAAGTAGCTTAGGAGGGAAGTTGGTGTTTCTGTATAAACCACGACCAAGTAGGATTTTAATTTTTTGAGCCCGGTCACGGGATTCTAGCCACATTCAAGAAAATAATATCTGATATGCTGACCGGTTGATACTACAGTTTTTTATCACACGTTTAGGGGGAGGGGCTGTGACAAATGTAAATAATAATGTTATTATGTGTTACATATGTAGGTACTTAATGTATAAAAATCATAAATTAATATACAGGGTCTTCTAAAAATAGTACATGTGATAAAATGAGCTTGACATTATTAAAACATTTTAACATTTATTTGATCATTAAAAATTTTAACTTTTTTAAATTTTAAAAGTTTAAAAAGTAAAAAAAAGTTTATTAAAAAACCTTATAATTAAAAAAATCGCATTTTTACACTAAAAATGCGCCTTTTTGGGCCACCCTGTATATTATTATTAAAAATTTGATATTTGTAAGGCAAATCTTACCAAATAATTCATAAATACGCGACACAGTACTTTTTGAATTTAAACCGACTTTAGCAATGACATATTTACACCACTATAATTATTATTTTAAACTGTTAAATAATTATCTATGTGTTTAAAGTTTAAATGCTTTATGGTTAAAATCATAAACGTGTAAGTACAACTTAATGGTTGCGTTAGACTATTTAATTATTCATGTATATTAATAAGGCTCCAGTGCCATTAGTAATGGCCCATTACAATAATTAAAGGCCGCCTCTCCATAAGTAACAACCATCTGTTGATTAGAAATGGGTTAAGTTTGTTCACAGACCTGCAGATTTTGCACCTCCATCTCTCAAGTATTAACAAACATTATCACCAGCGATTTTGTATCGTATCAAAACACAATGCACAAATGTTTCGTTAAAATCGTCAACCGTATAACTCAAAGGCAAAAAATAATTACGCGGACGTTTATTAAGTTTAATTCGCTCGCGGCACCAAGGCTGCTTGTTGCTGCCTATCATCCCGTCATATGGAAACCGAATGCTGCAAAGCAGGTTACCTGCTGCAGGTACAGCGAAAGTAAAGTCATCGGTGAAATAAGAGAACGAAGGTTGCCAATCATGCCCAAAATGAACAAAACCAGTCATCGGATTGGGGTTATACGTAAATATCTTTATTTTTGATATGATATACGGCCAGACTACGTTTCACTAAATCTTCTGTTATAATCTGTGCAGTGAATTAACTGTACTGTTACATCAATGATGAATTTATAAATTTTTAACACATCAAATTAAATTGCAATTGCTGCTTATGTTATAATACCGGATTCGCTTACTATAATAAAAGTAACATTAAAATTTATAAATATTTCATTAATAGATCAATAAAAGTAAAAGTGTAAAATATTCCTTGCTCTTGAAATATTCGCCTTTAAATGTATTTATTAAATAAAATTAAAAGTATTTTAAAAATGTTATTTTAAATGTTTGTACCTACTTAAAAATAATATACTATTTTAACCGCCCATAAGTATCAGGAGAGCACGAAGTCACGTCGATGTGAGCGTCTTCTGCAACATCCAGTAGCATATATTTGCATATATTCACACAGTGGCATAAATTTAAAAAATGGTAGGATAAAGAAAATTTCTAAAATTTAAATATTTCGAAATTTTATCAAATTTTAAAAATATTAAAATTTTCGAATATTTTCAAGTTGGCTCTTGACATTCGAAGCGGTCGGATGCGTCGAGCTAGATTCCCCCTAAGTAGCGTATAGGATACAAACGTAAAGTACCAAAAACGAAACAAAGTATCCGGAAATATCGGTAATCGTTAATAAATAAATAAACAAACAAGTGCAAGAAGTGCAACAAGGGCGAAAATTGTGAGATAACGCCGTAAAAGTGTGCAAGTGAATAAGTAATTAAGGCTAGGCCACAACGATGTCAACCGGCACACCTGGATCAGAGCGTCTCAAAACCTGCAGGAGAAGGAACAAAGGACACCCCGCGAAAGACAAAACATCAGGATTATAGCCTAATAATCAAGCTAAGTAATTTTTCTAATTGCATGTTTTACCGTATAATCGTTAAATGTTTATATAAGCATTTCACAATGTTGCCAAAAAAATCTAAGAATTCTTTTTGTCATAAAAACTAAATTTAAAAAAAAAGTAAGAATATCCGTAATTGTTAAATAAACAACCTCATTTTCTCATAGTAGACAAATCATAAACAACCATTGAAAAAGGCGTAAGAGTAAATAAACTAAATCAAGCAAGAAGACAAAATTCATAATAAAAAAGTGTTGTGTTTGAATAAGTAATACATTTAGGGTCACAGCCATAAATCAAACCCAAAGATGATAAGAACTCAATAGCCAATAACGTAAATAAACCATCTATTAAAGCATACGTTACACGCCTAAGACCGTACTTCAAAAATTAATACGATACACCCTTAGATACACCACAGGGCCGGCTCTATCTATTTCGTGAATTAATCTATTTTTAGGTTAGATTTGGAATAAAGTAAGAATGCAAAGATACAAAATAAATAATAATAAACGGTAATCACTAATTTAACAACAAAATAAATGGTTCACCAACAAGGGCAGCGTACTGACACCCCGGCTCAAAATAGAAGAACAGCACAGAAGAAAAGAAGAATGATCCTATCAATAGTCAATGCAGACCATTTGGTGGCATTCCACCACAAACACTACAGGGCCGGTTATCTATTTTGTATATTAATATTATATTTTTAAATTAAATTTGAAAAAAAAGTAAGAATGCCAAGACATAAATTAAACGAAAACGGTATAAACACTAATTTAGCAATAAAATAAATAAAGAATACCTATACAAGGTTGGTAGCCGGAGTAAGCAAAAAACTAACATACCCACCCCCCATTCACGAATACCAATTGAATGGGGTTACTACTAAGGCCTAGGTTCAGGAGGATTCCGGATTGTACTTAGTTTTGGGTCAGTTCAATGTCCTCCAAAACCCTTCCTAAACTGGACGTATGGCCCGACCCGGCTGACAAAAATCCCGGGAGCGGCCTTAACCTTTGACACTGTCATCCACGAACTCCTAGGGTGGATCTACCAGCCGGCGTAAAAACTTCGGATCCAACAAACACAGGTAATGCTGTGATTTGGCGGGATACGCAGGAGAATGGAAAGGGGGTAAAAGAACCCCGGGAGATCAGTGGATGATAATATATCTGGGGCCTGCCATACGTTCCCATACTCATACTCATTAAAATTTTCGAATATTTTTAATATTATAATTTTCCAAAATTTTAAAAATTTTAATCAAACCATTATTAATTCTATTTAATATCTTCTTCAAAAAATACAGACAAAGAAATCGCTAAAACCAATAAAAACCTAAAAATTCCGCTGTTACTTTTTTTGGAGCGCACAGTAGGGTAATGGGGTTAGGACATGCAATTGTTTATCAAATATTTGTAATCTACGCATTTGAGTTTATCATTAAAATTTTAATCCTAAGTTTCTTAAACAATTTTTGGGAACGCTACAGAGTTTTGATAACCATCAGATTCAAGGCGCTCCGATGACTTTGAAGAGAGATCGTACGTCACGATGTTATAACAGATTTGTCAAGAATTACAAATCTTACATCTGGTTTTAGCATGGTTTCTAGGTTATTATCCTTTGAAGTATTTAAATCGCTGAAAATTGAGGAAAAGTACAAAGTAGTGGTGCGAATAATAAATTTAAAAGATAATTTTATGAACTTTAACGCGCTGTTACTGATTTATATTCGTTTTTTTTACTTTTGCATATCGTCGAGTGAGTTCCACAAGGTTTTAAGTAGATTTTGGCGAATTTTATAGTTTGCATTAATGCAAATATTAGTATGATTTATATCCAACGGTTTGGAACAGGTAAAATAATCTATTACTAACGTGTTATTACTAACATAAAAAAACTGTAAACGTTCTAAAACTGAAAACTCTAGAACTTTTTAAAACCACCACATAGAACCATGAAACCTTACTAATCAAAACAATAAAACGCGATTATAAGCTTTTATTTGTAATTAAGTAAATAGCAAATAAAAATGATTAAAAAACTAAACAAATTAAACACATCTATGCGGTAGTTTTATTTAAAAGTAATAAATTATGCGTTTAAAAAAAAATAGGAAGTTATTTTGTTTCTTAATTTTTTGCTTCGCTAATTAATTTAAATTATTTTAAAAAGTTTTTATTTATTTTTTAAAATTATATGTGCTTCAACCTATCTTCTAAAACCGTAGCTTATATAAATGAAATCTATCACATTAGTGTAACACGTATCTTTTAGGATAACATGGAATTCACGATTATCCTGCCACCTTTAGGTCAATAGCAAAGATTTGCAAACTGAACGATGCAGCATTTATTCATACATGCGTTGGTCCATCTCAATTTTGACCAAAAGTGGACTTAAAACATTGTGGAACTCACGCGATGATATATTCATTTGTAAAACATTTATATTAAAATATCGTGACTTCAAGCTACCGAGATAATTTATCGATTTTCAAAGTAATTTTTAGGGAAAAATTAGTACCATAATCGGTTAAACGTGATGGTTGTTTTTAGTGACAAATCTCTATAATCTTTATAATCGACATCATGCCCCAACCCCATTGTAAAAGATTTTCTTTCTTTATTTATTTGAAACTACTAAAGTTTTCTCGTCTAATCACTAAAAATAAAAAATAGTTGGTTTTACTCAACTAAGATCAGTTAAGTAAAACTAAAATGCACGCCGAAAGTGTTAATAAAAACAAAGGCTGTTAAAAAATAAATCATATTCCAAATAAACATTCAACTAACCATACTTTTTTAATTGTCATGTCCAGCTTATTTAGAATATTAATTTTGATTTAATATACGTAGTTTGAGTTCATTTTGTACAATTTGAAAGTACTTAAATATAGTCTGAGCCAAATCTGCATGGGTGCACGTCATCAATGCTGTATAATGACGTCAGCATTACCGTTAAATTTGCTTATTTAAGGCGTAATTCTAATGAGTTATAAAAAAATATCATTTATTTGCGTATATGCAATATATTGTTTACCAAGAACTGTAACAATTTTCCTGTTTTTTTACGAATTTCTGAAAATAAAACCATTAAATTAATAATTTTTGTTAGTTGCTAATAGCTTAAAGCTGGCGCGTACCGTTCAACATTATTGATAGGTCAGCGTCATTTTATATTTGACGCTTTTTTTGTAATTTTGAAATTTCGTGCGTGGACATCGTTTGTTGCAGATTATTATAAATAATTGTATGCATTATGATTATCATATTCTACCACTGGTTTGTATAAACAATGTAACAAGCGTTGTTGGCAATGCGAAGATATTGCGCCCTTAATAATAAATTTGACTTCAAGTCTGACCTGGATCGCTTTAACGACAAATACGACTAGTAATTTAGTATTTTTGTGTTTCTGGTAATTTAGTATTTTTTGTTTTGTACATATGAATCCCCTATTATCAAAACCCCTTAAATCAGTTTTGATGAAAAATGAGAACCATGCATTAAAAAAATACTACCTATCAATTTGTGCATTCAAATGGTTGAAAAAGCCCCGAAATGTATATATTCATTTTTTAATATAAATATTTTATGGCTTTTGCAACCATAGTATGCACACATTAATAGGTAGGAATATTTAAATGCATGTATCTCATTTTTATCAAAACGGATTTAAGGGGTTTTGATACTGGAGGAGTCATATGTAAGAGTTTGTTTCCTCTCTAAAAAGATTTAATTAAAACTTGCCCTTAACAAAGTTCTAATTAGTTGGGTGTAGAAGATTATAACAATGATGTTATAATTCCATCTTAATTAACAGCACCCACCGCTATAGTCAACAATACACAAGCACAATCATTTTGCCTGGGCACATATGAATAGACCTTAACTCTGACGTCATATGATGTCAATGACGTGCACCCATGCAGATTTACCAGCGACTATACAAGTTATATAAATATATAAACTTCATGTGGTATAGGAAAATTGCCTTAGCAACAAAATAAAATGATTTGCCTGATTGATGAAAACTATGACAACATTTGTATCTTAAAAAAAGAGCATGTGTCATACTATAACTCTAAATTCCGTAACCGTGCCTTCGGTCATTTTTGGTATTATGACCCAAACGTCTCCAAAAACACAGATTATACCTGTTAAGTATAGCGGTCGGCAGGTTGTACTTTAAATTGCTTTTCTGTCTTATTTGTTTTCCATTCCACATCACATATTTGAAAATTAGGATAAGAATACTTATATACTTATTTCACTTACCTCTTCTTCGTTGAGTTCTCCATAAAGATGTGGTACCCATCCTTGGATGAATTTGAACAGTTCGTCCACCCTGTTTTTTGGCACGCTGAACCAGTATTCTGGTCGCATCTTCTTTTTGCCGTAAGACATGAGCGCTGTAGATTTTGGTATCGGTTTGTTCATGGGCTTGCCCATGCGTAATCGCAAATAGAGCGGTGGATCTTCGCAGGACCTTGCCGGTCTTGGTATTAGTTCTGTAAAAACAAAACAATCGCGATATTTAAAATTGAGGATTTTAGATTTTCTAGGTGACAATTAAATCAATTGTGCTTAAAAGATTTTACAACATCGACTGTACATAAAAAATTATGCTGGTACTGTTATAACATAACCTTATCAACAAAATTTAACATAATAAGTAGGTTACGTTTTCGAAAATTTACATATTTTTTTTTTAGTTTGTCACAAAATAACAAAAAATAGGATAGATAAAAAGTGTGTTTATTTGTAGTTTGTTGTGTTAATGTATTTTTTGTGATGAAAGAACAAATGCCACATGCAGTGCACATCATGCAAAACCTACCAAATGAATCTAACCCATAATTTGGGGAGCGTACTGCATTAAAAGAAACATTAAACATACATTAATTATGATTAAGGCAGCTAGTTTAGACATTTTACATATTCTATTAGGAATCTAACATTGTTTTGAGAATATGTTCTCCACAATATAACACTCATGAAACATTAAGCTTACTTACTTCAGTTTGATGAATTAAACTTTGGGTAAATTTGATGATACTTAAGAAATTAATACATTTTTTTAAACATGATGATGAATGTTAATAATAATGAAATTTGGAAGCCACTTGCATACAGTCTAAACACTTGTTCTTGTATGTCTCAAATTGTTATGATGGATAGAATGCAGCATCCTTGTGGAAAAGTACTGATTTAATTAAAAATTATTGATGATATGATCAATACAATAGATTTCTTGTTAACAAACATAACAATGGACTTGTTTGCAATACATGCAAATTAGTTATTTAAACTGAATGCAACTTAAAAATCTTGGCGTATCTAATTTAATTCGGCTAAGTGAATAAATGGCCAATTCGAAAAATCTAATGCATCGAAATATGCGGTGCAAATGTTTTTTATTTTGTGTTTGTATTTTTTAGTTCGAATAATTTTGTTTATTTATTTTTACAAACAAGTGGGGACTTTTTTGTAAATGAAGCTCAATTTTTAGTACGGTTAAATTTTAAAAGATCATCCTTATAATCTGACTGGCAGGATAATGCCTCGTAAATTTTTTTTTATAAAAAATGTACTTACTGTCAAAAGAAACAAACAATTCAGGCATATCATCAACTGAGACCATTGACCTGTAGTCCAGTTTAGGAGGTATTTTGCTTTCTTTATTTTTTGATCCTTCAGTCGGCTGCCTTATAAACGTACCCACAGAGGAACGCCTGTAAAAAAATTAACACGCTATAAATAAAACAAAACCAATGTAAAATTATACCAAACACCATAATGATTACATCTTTGTTATTTATTTACTTTAAATTAGTTAGAGGTTGTTCTTAACAGTCTGTTAATTTTGCATTTATAAATAATTTAAATATTTTAGGTAAGCATGGACATTTTTTGTTTTTAATATAAAGTTATCTTAATGAAACAATGACGCTACAAGCGCGTTATTACTGTTTATTGAAAAATGTAATCACTTTGATTGTTTAATGCTTTTACACTTTTATGTGTTTTTCATAGCAATAATTAAAATATACAATATAGTGATGAGCGATATTTAACAAACTATGATTTTTCATTGATACCAACAATTCTTAAAAAAAAGTTGTTACAACAGTTATTGTTACCAATTTTTAAAAGTATTAGTGATCAGTTGTTACTTTTTAGATTTGGCCATGTTATTCTGAAATTTTCGGAACATTCTATCGTAACATACGTCATCGAATGCAGTTTCCAGTAAAAAATCGATATTAAAAAATCACAGTATTAAATCGTTACATTGTTTAAAAATTTTCAATATCGTTTATCACTAATGCAATATGTACAGTAATCAGTAATATGTGTTTTTGTGTGCGTGTGTGTGTGTCTAGTGTCAGAGTTTTTGTAAAAATGAACATTGGAAATTTTTCTTTTAAATAAATTAGATATATAAAACTCTCCTTCAAAATGATTACCTACCTCAAATTTTAAAGATTTTTAAATTCATTATTCAAACCACCTTTTTATAGCGCTTCTTTAGAAGTGTATTTTGTTTTTTTTTGCTAAAACTAATCTAGTATTATAAATATAAATAAGCCTGAAATACTTTTAACAGCCCAGTAAAATCGTATACCGGGTGATTTTTTTAATTCAAAAGAGCATACATTCAATTTCTATTAAATACAGGGTGATCTAGCGCAACAAACTTTGAGAGAAAATAGAATTCGTAAAAATAGAGCGAACAGTCCTAATCAACGTATGTCCAAAAATGCCAGCTAAGCCAGATACAGAATGTTGAAATTAAAAATTATTTAATTAATTAATTTGTACGCCGCTGCAGAGCGCTGGCCAAATATTTTTTATTTTCTTTTATATTTCAGTAATTTTTACACAAAAAAGTACTAGTAATACATTGCTCTAAAGTGAATATTTCTTAAGATATTTAAATTTAAAAAACGATTGAAAATAAACCTTAGAGCCATGAATTTAAAGTACTTTTTTGTGTAAAAATTACATTGGCCAGCGGCCAATAACTTACGAACCGTTTATCGCAAAGAGGCCAACAGACTTTTAAAATATAGGAAATTTTAAGAGCTACATTTTTTACGATTTTTGCTTACGGATTGTTGCATGAATATATGCAAAAACTGCAACAACTTCTTTGGAATATTTTTTTTCCTTATTAACCCTTTTAATATACCTACATATCGATTACTTTCTGCCAAAGTATCGCAAGCAACATAACTGAAATTTCGGGAATTGAAAACATTTTTTCTTTTAAAGTCTGTTTTAAATTAAATATAGCCCAAAGGTTTTATAACAATTAAATAGCTTATAATTATAGCTATTTACCTGTTATAAAACCTATAGGTTATATATGGTTTAAAACAGACTTTAAAATAAAACAAAATATCAATTACCGAAATTTGAGTTATGTTGCTTGCGATACTTTGGCAGAAAGTCATCGATATAATTAAACCCTTTTAATATACAGTGTGACCCATTTGTTTGCGACTCACCCCTGTAAAATCATTATTTGTTGTGCGATTTTAACCGGATTTGTTTTAAAGTGCAGATCTTGATAAACTGTATTTTTAAAACAAAAAACGCTATATTTCTACAAAATACAAGGCTTACTATGTCAGTTTTTAGAAGTAAATTTTTAAGAATTCATATTAGCGATATTTTTAAACAAAATCTAAGCACAGCACTGGATTCACCACCCCTCAATACGACCCTATACTAAATTTTATTGAAAAATTTTAAGTAGAAAAATGCACAATAATAACCACAAAAATTTATTTTGTCAAGTTATCCATGAAAAAAACATTGAAATAAAATTAAACTAATGGTAACATGGTACTATTACTAAAAGTTTAATTTCATTTCAATGTTTTTTCATGGATAACTTGACAGAATAAATTTTTGTACTTAATATTGTGCATTTTTCTACTTAAAATTTTTTAATAAAATTTAGTAAAAGGTCGTTTTGAGGGGTGGTGAATCCAGTGTCGTGGTTAGATTTTGTTTAATAAAATCGCTTATATGAATTTTTAAAAATTTACTCTTAAAAACTGACATAGTAGGCCTTGTATTTTTTACTAATATGGCGTTTTTTGTTCAAAAAATACAGTTTATCTTTTATATATATTTATAGATCTACAGTTTAAAACAAATCCGGTTAAAATCGCACAATAAATAAAGATTTTACAGGGGTGAGTCGCAAACAAATGGGTCACACTGTATATAATATCACGCAGTATACATTCGCGTGATTTTTCTTTAATTATACAAAAAAAGTAAATTAGAAATTTTAATACCAATTAAATTGCGCTTTTAATACGCTTTGTAGCTTTTTAAATAACTTTAATTTGTTAATTTTATAGGAATTTTCAAAAGATACAAAATTTCAAGAGAAAATGTTTGCTAATAAAATAACGCTTAAAGGGTTGAGGGTTTAAAAATATATTTAAGCAACAGCGCATTGGAGAGGAAAATGTAACCCTAAATTTCCAGTATTTTAAGAGTCAGGTCGCCTCGGTTCAGAAGATATTAAAAAAAACGTTTGAATACAAAAATAAAAGTATTGGGTTCCGTATATAAAATCTTACATTTTCACTGATCTTATAATGAAGATCCAAAATAGACTCTTTATTTCTATGAAAATTATTTTTTGTAATGGACTTAAAATCAATAAAATAAATTCATATATTTCCAATGTTCACTTGATTGTTCACACCAAAAGCCAATACGACACACACATACCCCACGGCGCCAACTGAAGCGCCAACCTGAGCTCCCATTGCGCCGACGGTGGCGCCCATCGCCCCGACCGCCCCGCCCACCTGCGCGCCCATGGCGCTGACCGACGACCCGACCTGGGCGCCCATCGCGAAAGCAGATGAGCCGACTTGAGCGCCCATGGCGCCGACGGACGCCCCGACGGCGCCCACCGACGCTCCCACCGAACTTATTATGTTGGTGGGGAAAAAGCTGCTGCTGCCGGTCGAGTTGTCGGTCCGGGGCGAGTCGGTCAGAGGCGGGCCGCCGCTGCCGCCCGAGTGCGGCCCGCCGCCCGACGAGCCGCCGCTCTCCTCCGACGGCGTCTTGTTCAGGAACAAGCCGGTGCCGAAATCCACCAGGTGGATGGGCGAGCTAAGCGTTAGTCATTTGGGTTAGGTTAGTACAAGCTGGATCTTTCCTCACCAGAACAGGCCTCATGTACCAAGTTTTAATTTTTTTTATATGAACAAAACAAACGAACAAACAAAAATTGACAAAAGTGAGAGTAAGGACGCGTGAACGTGAGAATGAGTGCATAAGTAGAAGAGAGCGACGTTACGCGTAAGCAAGCGTTATTAAAGTGATTTATTTATAATATTACTATTATTATTATTATTTGACCTTCTTTTAAATTAACTATCATTAATACTTTTTAACATCTACCATGGCTAATTTTTGACATCAACCATGGCTATTTTTGACATAAACTAAGGATGTACTTTAGTAGAAAGGGGATTTTAATGTTATTACCTATTTGTATAACTTGAAGAAAATAATTTTATTTGAGCCAGATTTTATTTAACTTATTTTATCTAAAATTTAATTTTTAAAAGAAATATACCTAATTTTTAAAATATCAATACCTAAAATAGTGTGATTTTACCTATTTCACCTAAATTATTATTTTTTACAGAAATGAACCAAATTTTTTAATTTGCTATTAAAAACATGTTTTTTGCAATATGGGGTTGTTGTATTTAGATGACATAATTCCTATGCACTATGTGGTAATTTTTTGTACAGATTTTGGTAATGTGGATGGTACGGAGAATCACGAAACAAGAAATTTTTATAAATTTTTCAACCTAAAATCCCATCTCTACTGGTTTGTAATTGAAAATAATAAAATAAATCAATGATATAATAACAGCACAACTCTAATAATTATTACTTGAAAACTTGATTTCTTCTTAAAAACTTATTAAGGTGGATTTTTTTTTTCAGGGCATTAATAATGAGATATAAAGTTATAACTAACAACTCAAAAAATTAGTGAAAAATTTAAGAATATATATACAGGGTGTCCCAAAAATAGTGTACAATTCCCTACATGTGGTTTCTAAAGACAAAATTAGGATTAAATCATAGGTTGGCAAATGGCCCCTAAGGGGTGTTTTAAACACTCAGGGGTAATTTTAGCCTCAAATTTTTTGCGTGCAATTTTTTGTTGGCTGCAAAATATAAAAAGTTTTCGATTTAAAAAAGTTATTTTTGTTAAACATTTTCAAATAAAAATGGAATTACAAATTTAAAAAGAATTTTTTTTAATATAATATATTTAACAGGAAATATTCATCAACAAATATGTACATATATTTCCTGAATCATTATTTTATCCTAAGTTGTTTCAAAAATAATAATAATAAAACATCGTCAGGGGCGCCCTTAGGGGCCATTTGCCAAAGTATGTTCATATAATGTTTTCTTCCTATTTTTGGCCCTAAAAACCGCTTGTAGATTATTGCACACTATTTTCGGGACACCCTGTATATATTCAACAATATTAGGGTTCCCCAAGAAAAATATTGATGTACTTATCGAGAAAAAAATGCCCTTAATCTTATTTTGATTTTAAAGTTGTCCTATTGAAATAAAATAGGAAATTAGAAATATTTTTTTTCATACTTGGCGGTATATAACGCTACTACAATTTACATAGCTGCGATTCGTACATAATTAAATGCTCTTCAAATTTACTTGCAAAATTTTTTTCGACATGTACACATCACCACTCATATTTTAATTAAAAAAACAGTTAATTTTCTATGCAATCCAAAAAAATGCATAATTTAAAAGCATCTAATGCATTTATTTGTCAAATTTCGATTAAACTAATTACCCAAGTAGAAAATAATTCTTCTATTGAACTGTTTCGATTAAACTAATTACCCAAGTAAAAATATTTCTTCTTAACTAAATGGCTAAAACTTTGGGGGCATCTTTTTCTCGATATGTGCATAAATATTTTGCTTGGGGAGTGACATATTTCTTTAAAATGAATCACCCTAATATACCGGGTGTCCCATAATTAGCGTGTAATACTTTAACAGCAGATTCTACATACAAAAATATGAAACAAGTTTTTATAAACATAGGTCAAGAAATGCTTCCTAAGGGAGCTACATCCCCCAAAAGAGGAGCCCCTGATGATGGTTTTGACTTAATATATCCAAAACCGTTAAAGATAGAAAAATTAAATTTTAAGAATTGATTGAACTCCCTATTACATAATGTAACTGGCAACCCTAATTACATTGCATAAAATGTCACATGTCTTGAATAATTTTTCCTACACATGGCAGCCGTTTTCCATGGACCAAGCTGAATTTTTTTGTCTAGTTGTAACTTAATTATGAATTTGTATGCCATGTAAGGTAATTTTCAAATTGATTTTAACCGAAAATAGTAAATGTTATCGGAGTGTAAACCTCTAAAATAATAGTATATTACACTACAAGGGCAGAAAGTGTGAGATTCCTGCACTGCGCGCCATGATGCCCTCGGCTTCGCCTCGGGCATCATGGCGCGCAGTTCAGGGCTCTCACACTTTCTGCCCGTGTAGTGTATACTATTTTTCTTACTACCTCGGCCGAAAATACGGGAAAAAATTAAATGTGTATTTATGTACCTATCTCCATTTGAAGAGCTTGATAAATAAATAACAGTAGGCCGTGAATTCAGCGGTGCCAATACAGTAAAAATAAAACGTTGTATTTTAATTAACAAATTACTACTTTATAACAAATAAAAGTACCATTAAACACTTAAAACAACATAAAAAGTAAAAAAGTAAAAACATAAATTGTTTATTTGTTGTTATAATTGCAAAATTATGGTTTAAAACTGTCATATTTTTGTGTTTCTCATGTTGGCAGTACGAAATTTGAATGTTAAGCACGCGACTAAAAAATTTTTACTCCCGCTATTAGAGTGTGCGCGTGTGGCTTGACCAATGCATAAAACGTAAACTTTCTGTGTTCAACATATGCAACTCTGATTACGACACTAATATAACCTCAAAATTTGTTTTCAATTATTATTTTCAGTCGAGGTAGTAAGAAAAATAGTATACATTACACGGGCAGAAAGTGTGAGAGCCCTGCACTGCGCGCCATGATGCCCGAGGCGAAGCCGAGGGCATCATGGCGCGCAGTGCAGGAATCTCACACTTTCTGCCCTTGTAGTGTAATATACTATTTCTTACTACCTCGACTGAAAATACGTTGTTTCGTCTCCGATTCCACGGCAGAAAGTTTACGTTTCTTGCATTGGTCAAGCTATACGCGCACACTCTATAATAGCGGGAGTAAAAATTTTTTAGTCGTGTGCTCAACATATGCAACTATGATTACGACACTAATATAACCTCAAAATTTGGGCAGGCATCAATATGTTTCGATATACACATTTAATTTTTTCCCGTATTTTCGGCCGGGTTGTATTTTCGGCCGAGGTAGTAAGAAAAATAGTATACACTACACGGGCAGAAAGTGTGAGAGCCCTGAACTGCCAGCCATGATGCCCTCGGCTTCGCCTCGGGCATCATGGCGCGCAGTGCAGGAATCTCACACTTTCTGCCCTTGTAGTGTAATATACTATTACATCAAATCCTGGGACAAGACACATACAAAAAAGTTAGGGTGGTTTTACCCTTACTCCCTTTCTATCTGACCCACCCCTCATGGAAAATTTGAAATTGTTGTTATTATTATTGGCCATAAAAAGTTTGATCAATTCCCAAAATTTCACGTTTCTATCTTGAACGGTATTGGAGATTTAATATAAAAACCATCTTCAGGGGCTCTTCTCTTGGGGGCTGTAGCTCCCTTAGGAAGCATTTCTTGACCTATGTTTATAGATTTTTTTTATTTTTGTACGTAGAATCTACTGTACGTTAAATATGGGACACCCTGTATATATATATAGAATTATATCCAAGTCGTATGTCAAGCATGGGTCATATAAACCTTGTAAAAACATAAACTCAAATATTTCGTTTTTTCAAAGATTTTTATCGTTTTAGACTGCTCTTAACAGATGTCACTAATTATAATTATTTAGTAAAAAAAATTATTTTTTCCAAAATCCACAATGGAGTTTATCAAGTTACTTTATTCAAAAGCGAATCTAACGTTTGTTACATGGAGCCTGTTTTGTTAATTCAATTCATTTGGCATATTCGTTGGCCGTCTTACCTTGAAAACACCTTCGAGAAGACAGAAGAATGGTGCGAATCGGCAGAATTCGGTTGACTAGGTGTCTTCTCGTCCTCTTTGTCCCCACCCAAAGTTTCCATCCAAGATAGGGGATATGACAGTCTTTTTAACATCTAAAACAATAATAAAAGATGTATTTTTCTATAAATTGGTTTAATTAGGATGTCCTGTTATCACTAATTACGCATCAAGCAGCCTATTGCATCAATTAATCGTTTTGCATAGTTCAATTGCTTTGTTTTTTTAAGCCAATTTAACCGCAATTGTCTATAAACGGCAATTGAAACTAATCGTTTTAAATTGCGAAAAAAAGTACGACGCGCGCGCGTACCTTATTTTTTCTAGTGTCAGCCTTTTCGTCCTCTTTCGATTCTGAACTGCTGGTCGACAACGGCGGCAAACCGGGCTCCAGGTCGGAGCTCGAGTCCAGGCTGAACGAGACCGAGTTGGTCTTTTTCCTACCGGCAGGGCTGTCGATCTCGCTGCTCATGCTCACGTTGGTGGGCGCAATGGTGATCGGTGGTACCCAATCTTTTGACAGGACTATATCTGCATCACTATATTGCTAAAAAAACATTAGCTTTATAAATAAACAAAACCCCTAAAAATATTGAAAAAAGAGAATTCTTTAAAAAATTAAAACCATTTTAATTAGTAAGAAAGAACTACCAATCCAATCTATATTAAAAGAATTTGTAAAATACTTAATTAATTAATATATAAAGGAACCTAGTTTTATTTTATTTTTGTTATTCCCCAAGCTAAATATTAATGTACATATCAAGAAAAAAAATGCCTTTAATCTTAGTCCTGAGTACTTTTATTTTGATTTTAATGTTGTCCCATTGAAATAACAGAAAATTAAGGATTTTTTTTCAATTTCCAAACGCTTGGCGACACTTTACTACAATTTACATAGGTGTGACTTGTACATGATTGGATGCTCTTTTAAAGAACTTGCAGTAACTTTACTACAATCAATATATTTAGACACTGAAGTCATAATTTTAATAAAAAACAGTAGTTTTGCATTTTACAGGAAATTTAATTTCCTATAAAAAAGGTCCTTTGCAATAATGCAATAAAATGTTGTTTTACGGCGAAACGGTTAAAGCGGTTAAAAGTTATAGGTACAGGGAGAAAAAAGTTTATTGCTCCCAAATAAAAAAAATATTTAAATATGGGACAAGGGTACAGTTCATTTATCCTAAATATATTTTTATTCCTGACATAAAGTTTTACTAAAGTATATTTATCGTTATTATTTCGACTATTTAGAGGTAATAAACAATATATTCACTACAAATAAAAGTATTAGGTAAACAGTTTATTTGTCCCATTTTTTTCTCAGTGTCTAAAGTAAACACAACAAAAATGTCCTACAAAAAAGTCATAGATATGTATGAATGCAATAATATAAGTTAATAAATTTTACTGTCAAATATTGATAAACCAATTAGTCCTATGTTGTTTTACGGCACAACAGTTAAAGGTACAGTTAAAAAGTAAAAAATACTTTTATTGGAAATTTAATTTCGTACAAAAATAGTTTTATGCATTAATGCAAAAAAATGTATAGTTTAGAAGATAAAGGGCATTTAATAAATTTTACAGTCAACTATTAATAAAATAGGTACCTAATTAGTTTTATCCAAATATTATAGTTAAATTTATTAAATGCTCTATATCTTTTAAACCATGCATTTTATTGGAGTAATGCAGAATCTTTTTTATACGAAATTAATTTTTCTATACCAATCTTTTTCACTTTTTACCTGTTACTTTGCCGTAAAAGGCAATAAATACTGTTTTTTTGGACTTATGTAGTAGTGTAAAATACCGCAAAGCTAAAGGAAATTGAAAAAAATGTCTTAATTTTCTGTTATTTCAGTGGAAACACTTTAAAATCAAAATAAAAGTACTTAAGAGTAAGATATAAATAAATGTAGAAATATCTTAGAAAATACCAAATTTCTTGCTTACTTTTTTTGGTTGAACATGTGGTACAACAGGTGGCAGACTAGTCTCTCTAATATCAATTCCAGAGTCGTGACAACTCTCCTTCACCAAACTGTCCTCATCTTCTTCCTGGAATATTGCAGGATTAAGTTGTGGAATTTCATCCACATCTATGGACTGTCTGTCTCTGGATGGTATGGCCCAGTGGTGGTCCAAAAGGGATTTTCTTCTCTCCTCGAGGCTTCTTGGTTGGACTTCGCCATCTTCTAGATTGGTTGGCGTTACTAATTCTCTCTCGAATGCTTTGGGAAACGCGTCACCCTCCCTTTCAGTGCAGGAGCATACGCTTTCAGCGTCATCACCTGTAACTGATGGACAATTTAAATATTTCCTATAAAACTGCGTTATAGTTAACAACATGGTTGAAAAAATGAAATTTTTAAAGTGTCACCAAATAGTTTTATTATTTTTTTACGTCTTTCGATAAAATTAATTCGTTTTGAATACAGCGCAATGTTTTATTACCTATAATAGATAAGGCAATCCTTTTTGTTAGCAGTATCAAATTGGATAATATATATATATATATATATATATATATATATATATATATATATATATATATATAAGGGTGTATCACGGTCGCTGGTAGATTAGACGTTTATGGATAACGGCAAAATATATCAAATTGAATTTTTTATAGCAATTATAATATCATTAAAACTATTTTTCTAAATTATTTTGAAGAAAATTCCACTTCCGGTTTTAACAGAAGCGATATCAACTTTGTTATTTTAAATGGATCATCACAATTTTTTTAAGTTTTTTAATCCCTACTATCATTCCTTATAAAATGGCTATACTATGTCCTATTTCTAAACTTAATAGTTATTGAGTTAATTTTTTTGTAAAATTCGGTCAGTTTTACCCGTAACAAAATATCTTATAATTTTTTTAAAATTAGGTTTGCTGATATTTGGTTGGATTTATTGAAATCCTGAAGCATTGTTTTAAAGATTCCATGTAATTTATTGTAATATTTCTAAAACAATGTGAATGTAACTAACTTAAAACAGCATTAACTTTTTTATTTTCAGTGGAACGCCCTGTATATTTTTACATAATTAAATATACCTAAAGTTATGAATAACAAAGATATTTTACAATTCCTATTATTTATTATTTCAAATTTTTAAATATTAATTTTAAATTAATAAACAATACAAGTGAAATCTACGATTAAGTTTCAAGAACTGCATGTATTCATATGACAAGAAAATAATAAATTAATAAGAAAAATATATTTTTTTCCGGTGTAAAGTAATTTTGTCAATATGTGTCATACATAATACATAATGTGTATACAGTTCATACCTATTCATTAAAAGGTATATTATTATTTACTAATAAGGTTATAAATTCATTCAATAAATAAAAATTGTTAATAAAATAGTTAAAATGGAGGAAAATCACTATACAAATGAAGTTTTAATAATAATAATAATAATAATAATAATAAATTGGTTTATTTTTCATGGACAATATGACAAACTTATAATTGAGGGGCTCGGTGTAAGAACCGGGTATGTCCATATTTTTGCTAAATTGAGTTAGGTATATGAAGATACACCCGTCAGTAGTCCGCATCGTTCGGTGCAAAATAATTTTGAACAAGGTTTTTCTTTTCTCCTGAACATTTTCCGAATAGAACATGCAGACACTTTTTGTATGTTGTAGGTACCTTTAATTTACTTTATTTTAATAATGATAAATATCGGAAAATACATACAAAATTAATACACATGAGCAACATTTTATCAGTTTTTCTTTATATTATTAGGGTAATTGTAAAATATCTGTTAATATTAACTTTAGGTATAGGGAATAGTTAATAGTATATCAATAAGTTTTTTTTGTTCAGGGTGAAACTGACCAAATTTTACAAAAAAAAATTAATAACTCAAAAACTATTAAGTTTAGGTATAGGACATGATAGAGCCATTTTATAAGGAATGATGGTAAGAAATTAAAAATGTAAATAAATTGTGGTGATCCATTTAAAATAACAAAGTTGATATCGCTTCCGTTAAAACCGGAAGAGGAATTTTGTTTAAAATAATCTAGAGAAATAGTTTAAATGATATTATACCGTGATACACCCTGAAATTGTTAAAATATTTAAATATTTGATGAGTTTACCTAGTTCCGGGAAGGTCTCGTCCTTGACCAAGAGTGAGTCCTGATTCTTCACGCACCTCGGATAATAGATTTCGGGTTTTTCCCCGGTGGTGGTCTCGATGTGGCCGACGCGCATGTGCGCGATGTCGTTGTAGATGGCGGCGTTGACGACGAACTCCATGGGGGCAATGACCCCGTAGGATTCCGGTCCGTGTTCGATCACGAGTGGATCGGACACGTTCGGGTCGAACATGACCGCGTTCGGGGTGACGAGCAACACGCCGCCCACGACCCCTTGGCCGTCGGTGATGTGGCGCACGTTGATCTTGAGGAAACGTTCGCGGAACACGGCCGAATCGTCTTCGGTGTCCGTCGAGCCCTGAGGGCACGACGGGGTCCGAACGCGCTCGACATGGCCCGGTTTTGGACTGACTGGTCGTAAATTGTCCAACAGCTCTGCAATGAAAAAACACAATTCAATTCGAGCATAAACATATTTACCAAATATTATTTAATTTATTTGTGATGTTTTTCTATTATCCTTTATAAAATTGTATAACTTTGTTTCAACTAGAAATTAGTCAGCATCAATCACATTCTTTAAGAGTTTGTAAAATATTTCTAATTACTAGAGCCCGAATTATATGCAATACAAAAAGCTTAAATTATGCATGCAAATATGCATTCTTAAAATTTGCATTGTTGGCATTTTTGCCAAAATATAACGAAAATATGCATCCGCACTGAATTTTAGGTAAAATATGCAATAACCGGTAAAATGGGCTTCATACGCAAATGCATATATTTCGGGTCCTACTAAAACATTTGATTGGCTTCGACTTATCCCTAACTCTTGGTTGGAACAAAGCTAGTATAAACCACTTTATTGTTTTTAAAGCAAAATATTTATTTATAAAAAATGCTCTATTTGAATTAATAAATAAATTTGAAATATTATTACAATTCATTTGGAAATAGTTTCATAAATCCAAACAAAAAAATGTGCTTTTAGATTTGATCATACCGAGCATATGGACTGTCATAGACGCCAGGCATATGCTCAATCTCAAAATCGCATGCTCAATACAAAAACATGTTCGCATGTCCCTGACGCCAATTTGACAATCCAAATGTTTGATATTGAATTTTGTTTTTGGCCATGCAAATTTCTATATAAAACAATGAAATTTTTTTGTTATTTGATTATTTGCCAAACTTTCTAAAAGTGCCCGTTAGATGTGGATATTTATCTCAAAACAAATCAAGTTATAATTAATAAAACAAGTGTGGTTAACAACAAACAATAAAAAATGTATAAACAGTTTTTAAAGGCAAAAACTACGTACGTATAAAAGAACAATATAATTTGTTGTAAAACATCAAGCTTACAATCTAATCTTAGAACCACACTGCCTTTATAATCTTAGCACACTGCCAAACAAACTAAAGCGATTTGTAAGTATGAAAATAAAAATATAACACCGGCTCAGTTGTTGGTCTCGGGACACGCTAGATGTCGTCGCGTAATCAAAACAAATATTTACACACATGCAAAAACTAGAAAAATTAACGGAATTTAACCTGCTTTTTTGCAAAACATCAAGCACCAAATTAAAAAACGTACACCATCTGTTTCGGAGATAAAGCGACTGTCTGTTCTCGAACCGGAAATGCAAAGAAACCGGACACACGCAAACGCAAGCGGTTTTTTTTATTTATATGTTATATTAAAATTGAGTTAAGCCCAGCTGTGAACCTTATCTCGAAAACCTTGAAGTTTATCGGAATTTAAAATGCGCGATAGTTTTTACACAACAGTTTAATTGTTGCGTTAAAAGGGTTGCATAATTTAAGATGTAAAAAAGTTTCGGCACATTATTGTGCAACGCAAAATTTTACTTTATCATAAGATTGCTTTTATGTTTAGGCCCTAAACTTGAGGGCATAAATATAACTTATAAAGATTTATAACAATTTGTGAATACTTTATAAATAACAAGCATTTGAGAATCATTAAAATATTAGTACTTCTAAATTAACAGACATATAGACATATTGATTGTTGAAGGGCAGAACGCCCTAAGCCACAAGTATTTAAAAAAAAAAGGAAATTTGTATTCTGAACTTGTTTAAACATCTATAATATAATTGGTAGGAACAAACCATTTCTAGAGTTAGTTAAAGTGGAGTAATAATTTAAAAATTGTAATAATTATTATTTATGGTACCTTTCTCTTCAGCTGGCAAATCGTCGTGCGAATCTTCGACAGGTGTTGAGCCATCCGATTCGTTTTCAGGTACTTCCCGTAACGGCACGAACAAGGATTGTCCGGGGAATATGTACGGGGTAGCTAATCTATTCAGTTTGGTCAGTTCGGAGGGGGTCGTGTCGAAACGAGCCGCCACTGACGTCAGGGTATCCCTATCGGCAACCTAAAAAAATTTAATTTAATTTTTATTCATCAAGTCATTGAATGGAAGTAATTGTTACAGCTTTGAATGAATTGAAAAAACAAACGGTAAATGTTTTATACATTTTATAATTATTAATAAACTACTTATTTAAAATGATGTAATTTTGTCTACCTACAGTTATTATTAATCTAATCAGGATTTTAGAGTTGTTTTATTGAAATTAAAAAAAAAGATAAGTAAATGTATTGCGATTTAAATATTGATATGTTTAAGGTACATAATATGTAAACAAATCAAAAAATATTAATTTAGGATAAAGTTATTTAATAAAATCTACAAAATATAAATGATTACAAATACACAAGGTTTAGTCAAAATACCTTTGGAAAATATTTTAACCGAAAAATTTTTTCAAAAGGTAAAGTAAGTAACTTTTTACCAATTTCACTTTATTTTTTTCTTTCGACTCACTTTTTACACAGAAACGTAACTTTTCATTTAGTTTTGCCTTACAAATGAAAAGATTAATTTCCTTAGCAACGACGCCATACGAAATGCAACTTTTAGATATCGGTCGTAGGAAATAGTACATTCGGTAACAAGTTTGGAATACGGATATTCCGCTCGAGTGAAAAGTTTGTCACACGAGCCAAAGGCGAGTTTGACGATTTCACGAGAGCGGAATATGCAATTCCAAATGTGTTTCAGACTATACTTTTTCGACGTTTCTAAAAAATACCATATACGGTGATAGAGTAATTCATTCTGTAACACTTGAAGGAATATTTAGAAAAATATGTTTATAATTAATAATATAGTTTTCTGTGAATTTTTTATTTTAATTATAGAGGATCTTCTGCAATTGGCGCAATGGCAAGTCGTTTTGAGGTATAAAGTCTTTTACTTTTTAATATTGTTATTTATTATAATTTTTTGAGACTATAATTGATTAATTTTTTTTTGGTTTCCATTATACAAATATCTATCTAGGTAACACCAGCGCCTTCTTATCTTAGGAAGTCCGATCTCCTTGTCTAGGCTCCATGATATGGAGTTTCATTAAGTAAAGGTCGAAACCATAGAGCCTACAGCCCTACAAGGGGCGCGAACTTAATAGGAGAAATTGACAAAAGCTGCCCTCTAAATCGCACCAATTAAGTCTTTTTTTATCACCAGCGGCGCTGATTGTCGATACGTAATGACGTCTGCTGTTTTGGTAGCGTTTGGTAGAAATTAAACAATCAATGGAACACCAGCGCCCTCTTATCTTAGGAAGATTTTTGTATAAAGTTCGGACTCCTTGTGTAGGCTCCATGGTCAAAACAATCAAAACATATTAGAGTTGTTTAAAAACCTATGCACCACCAATTTTTTTTTATTTGTACCCGCCAAAAGTTTGAGTGGGTGATAAAATATATTAAATAAAGTTACCTAAAAAATTATAAAAATTATTTTTGCATTCAAAATATGTTAATAATGCGTTTTATTGTCGTAAAGGTTGAGTCAACAATAAGAATGAAAAGAATTCATTAAAATGCATTTAGCGTGTAAACGATAAAATTTCTATCGTAGGTAGCGCAAAATTGAAACAAATTCTAGAAAGTTATTTAACTATATAGTAAATACTTACAGTGTAGGTTGTTGTATTTTCTGGTGGCCCTGTTTTCCTCCGTTCGGCCAGGCTGTTGGTGGAGCCATCTAGATCTAGAACAACAACAACATAAAACAATTGAACGAGCACTGCGAGCACGCAACAAAAATCGCACCTCTTCTTTTTAGCTTAACCTCACAACCTTTCTCTTGATCGTAGTAAACCGTCATAAAACCATTTTCGAATTTGGTAAACAGATTGCTTGCATCCCCACGATAATCGATGCGACTATAGAAGTCGTCTACAAAGTTCATCGTTAGATTTTAACATTTAAAAGACACACACAGACACAGATAACTAACATTTACGACGAACCATGGTAACCTTGGTGTTGTGTTTTGTATATAATTAAAAACACGGCGCACAGCTGAGAGAGCTGGAATTGGCGTCTGATTGCTGGATTGCAATGTTGACAGGTTTAGAACCAATTGATCGTAGATCGAAAAATACCGCTATTTATAGTATCGCATACAGGAACACTGATTAGATAATTGCCATTTACATATTGCGGCGAGCAAATTTTAACGTTAAGTGCGAGATTATAAGGAAAATTGAAATTTAACATGACTACCAAAATGAATTTTTTAGCTTGTGCAAATTTTTATTTCTTATAATATCTTTTAATATGAAACTTTTTGATCAATAATTTGGGCGATAAACAAAATTACCGTTTTAAATAATTTTAATGTAAAATAAATATCTTTAACAATTTAAGGCTATTTATTTATATTGCAAAATTGAAAAAATAAAAAACCGGCGCATCCGCCTTTTTTTGAAAATAAGCGTTTTAGAGAAAATGCACAATGGACTTTAATTTAAGTTTTTTAAAGAATAATTTATAGAAGACAAATATTTATAGTTTTTTTCGAGCTTTATTAACTAGATTTTATTCTATACAATAAATCTAATGAAAAAATATATATATGTAATAAAAATAAAATAAAACGATTTTTTTAGAATTGACTTTTTCTACTATTTTTATAGGAAATTGTATTTTGGTTTTTTTTTCGAGCTTTATTAACTAGATTTTATTCTATAGAATAAATCTAATGAAAAAATACATATATGTAATAAAAATAAAATAAAACGATTTTTTTTAATTGACTTTTTCTACTATTTTATAGGAAATTGTATTTCGGTAAACATTAAAAAATTATATAAAACATTTTAATTAAACGGCAAAATGGTCTGTCTGTCTAAAAGAGTTTATAATTCATTTAAGTCTATTTTTCTAAAATATTTCAAACAAAATACCACTTTCGGTTTGACCGTAAGTAACATCAACTTTGTTATTTCATTAGAACACCCCATATATATTTACATTTTTAAATTCTACATAAAATTCTAAGTAAAATTACTTTATCACTTCCTATACCTAAAGTGAATAGTTTTTGATTTATAAATTTTTTTTGTTAAAATTTGAGAAATGCGCGTCAATCAAAAATGGCCCATATTTTTTCGTTATTAGGTTTGCGAATAAGGGGTTAGAATTTTTGGAATCTTAAAACATTGTTTAAAAGATTGCTTGTCAATTCTTTAACATTTTCAACAAATTACCTGAGAAAACCCAGTGCAAATTAAATTTTATTTTAAAGTAACACCCGGTATGTTTTAACAAAATCAAATAAAAAATTATAAAAATCTTTCGATGTTGTTGCTCTTCCCTATAGTTAATAATTTCATAGATATTAAACAATTTATAAAATTTTAAATATTATTTTGTATCAAACCTGTAACGGGCGAGTATCTATGGTTACCACGTAATCTGACATTGTTTAAAATTTAATGCTGTCAATTTTTCAGGTTGATATAAACAATTTGTTGACAAACAAAATTACTGATACAAAATAGAGAAACCAAAATTTTTAAAATTTAAAAGTAGTATTACAGTATTTGCTAATTTAAAATAAATATACAAGCCGTAGGATGTCAACTAAATGAAACACTAGCTCATTGGAGACAATAAAATATAAAATTTATTTTATGAAATATTTTAGTCAAAAAGATCAACGTCTAATGTAGAAGTAAGAATGCTTGAATGTAAATGGAGGACACTGTGAACATTTAGTAATAAATTAGTAATAAAAATTAATAATTAAAATATTTCCAACTCACCCGCCACAGGTTTCTTAGGATGAAATAAAATTAAAACTTTAGAAATTGTTAAAAATCTCTTAAATTATTTACTTTAAGTATAGGGAGTAGTTACATCAATCGAACGGTTTTTTAATTTACTATTTGATTATAAAAACATACCGGGTGTTACATTTAAAATAAAAAAGTTATTAACTTTTGAATAATTTGCTCTGGTAATTGTTTAAAAAATGTTAAATTGACAAGAAATATTTTAAACAATATTTTTTTCGCAAACCTAATAACAAAAAAGTTTTAGGCTATTTTTGATTAGCGCACATTTTAACGAAAAAAATTAATAACTTAAAAACTATTCACATTAGGTAAACGATATGGTATGGTAATTTTATGTAGAATTTAACAATGTAAAAATATACGGGGTGTTCTATTTGAAATAACAAAGTTGATGTCACTTCCGGTTAAACCAAAAGTAGCATTTTGTTTAATACATTATAGAAAAATAGACTTAAATGGATAATAAAAGCTTTTAAAATTTTAAATCGATATTTTTTTTCGTTCCCCAGAAACTTCTAATGGACCAGGAATGTGAAACACCCTGTATAGAGACTGTATAATCTACATATATGTATGTAGGTATATAATTATAGTATAAAAAGGTCAGTGTCTGCTAATTAAATGACCTTAACTGATCTGAAACGATTCGAGATTATGATAAAAGCTCGTAAACGCATATATACGAGAGTCGAGCCTCTTGGATTGCTGGACTGTCTGTACTGTTCTTTTCTATACTGTGCCTCCATAACATATAGCTAGGTAATTGGTCCGTTATTTTTCTATTCCTTAGAACCACGCGAGCGAAGCTGCGGGTTACAGCTATTATTAAATATTTTCCATATTATTTCGTAAAAATTAAGAACTTACTCAAAATAATTTTAATCTGTTTAATAGGTAAAAATGTGAATATATCTAGGTTTAATGGTACAACCATCCAATAAACAGGCGATAATTAAAATCAATAATTATCAATTGTAATTAGATATTAGATAGTTGCACCAAGCACTTAGATCACGGTCTCTTTAGACGAGACCACTTGTCAAAACTGATTATTTTATTTCAAGATGCATGGAAACAAAAAACTCAAGAGCCCTAAAAATAACAAGGCAAGATAAAAAGTTATTTTTATTGATTAGAGAATAATAATGTAAAAGCGCTGGTGCAAAACAAGTGATAAATGATACCTGATATCAAGAATAAGGAATATAGGTAATAATTATGTTTCAAAGTTGTGTGGTTAAAACAGAATGTGTAGTGGCGGCGTTTTAGGTATTAAAAAATATTGTTTATGATTACAAATTTTTCAAATGAGTCTACGATTTTTGACGTTAAAAGAAAAATTAGAACTAAGTAATAATACACTCATTAATACCAATCAAGTTATGTTCATTTTTTGTTCTGAGAAAAATTCATTTGTTTATTAAAAATGTGAGATTAAACATTTATGCACCGTTTGATTAAAAAATAATTAGGTATCTCGTAAACTATTTATAAAAAATTTATGAAAATATTAGAGAATATAAAGAAATGAATGCTTAGGCAATAACCTTCTCATTATCGTGCTATTCGTCATTGTTGCTAATTTATATTATTTATTTAATAGACAAATTCCGATATTACCCTGTTATACAGACGGAATTTAAATATGTTTTCAAGTGAGTACTGGAACTTTAAACGCTTTAGATTCAAAAATCGTTTTGACTTTTTTGTAAATACAAATTATAATAATATGTTTTAACTAATGTTTTAACTTTGTGTACTTTGGTATATGACTAGGGTTGCAACTTTTCATGAAAAGTTGAAATTTTTGAAAAGTTGGGTTTTATTTTTCGGAAAAGTTGGAAAAGATGGAAAAGTTGAGTTTTTTGTAATGTAAACGTATAAAACATAAATAATGCTTGTCAATGTATTAAAATAATTTATTTCTTATGTATTTATACATACGTAACAAAATAACAAAAAAAAATATCAAACAAAATAAAATGAACAGACAACATAATAACAACAAAAATAAACTAGGTTTGAGTTAAAATCATATTTTTTAAGTAAAAAAGAATAGAAATTTATACACACCATAAAAAACACATACGAAATAAAAAATAATTACAAAAAAATATGAAGCAAAAATTATTAAATTTATTGTTGTTAAAAATTATGGAAATTTACAAGTAAAAATTTAAAAAGAAAACTTTCTTCTTTTCCACTTTTATATTTTCACTTGCAAATTTCCATAATTAAAAAAAAAATAATATTTTTTTCATACTGTGTATAAATTTAAAATACGTTATAATAAAAATCTTTATATAATAGAAAATGCTGTTAGCAGACACCATTTTTGATAAAGTTTGACAGAATGTTATTAAAAAAAACAATGCTTTTAGCACGTTTTACTAAAAACACTTAAAATCTAGCGATTTATATCGAATTTTGACCAAATTATCTACCAAAAAAAAAGTATGGTAGTGGAAACACTGGTTAGAAGTCAACTCATTGTTCATTGGCTCCCACCTAATAAATTTTCCAACTTTTCATAGGGGGTGCCGAACTTTTCCAACTTTTCGACCGAACTTTTCCTTGTTTGCAACACTATATATGACTAAAATTAAAAGTTTTTATTGGTTTTTTGAAACGTCAAAAAATAATCAATAAAAATGATCTCTATAGAAAACAATAAACCAATTGGAGCATGCCATTCTTCATAGCACTTAAGATATAGGTACGATATAAAAAGTTTTATTAACTGGATTTTATTCTATAGAATAAATGTAATAAACAGAAAAAATATATGTAATAAAAATAAAATAAAACGATTTTTTTAGAATTGACTTTTTCTATTATTTTATAGGAAATTGTATTTTCGTAAGCATTAAAAAATTATATAAAACATTTTAATTAAACCGCAGAA